TTTTTTTTTTTTTTTTTTTTTTTTTTTTTTTTTTGTTTTTTTCCGTGTCCGGCAACGGATCGCAACCCTCAGTGTTGCCCCCGTACCGGACTGGGGACCAGCAACGGGATTGCAACCCTCGGCGTTGCTCCCGCGCCTCGCTCAGCCAGTGAGCGGGAACCGGTCTGTATGTGGGATCCAAACCCTCGGGCGGGAGCGCCGCCACGCTTCCCAAGCAGCGCACTATCCAGTGCGCCACCGGGCCGGCCCTAATTTTTTATCTTTTGTAAATAGATTTCTTTTATCTGCTGGTTTCCTACCTGTTTTCTCCCCCTCTTAAAGCCAAGTGCGACAGAAAACCTCCAACAAATTGAGGTTTCTAACCAACTGCAGTCTCATCAGACTTCTTATCATTTCCTCCCGCTATTTCAAGAACGAACTTTAGAAAGTCAGCACACTGCAGGCTGGAGTTTGGTTACTTCTTCCTTCTGCAGGTTTGCATGGATGTGCGAGGCGGACGTACCTCTCACTTGCTTCATGCTCCTCAGCGCGTACTTCAGGGTCGCCAGAGTGCTGGCCTTCCCCTTGGCCTTCTTATCAGCAGAGAGGTGGACTTTCAGCTCCTTCAGCGTTTTTATCAGTTCTTTGTGTGTGTCTGCTTTGGCAGACTGCTCACTACTGTAGAATTCAAGAAAGAGGCAACCAAAGGTTAGCTTCTGAAGGGAGCTCCCTGTGGGGCTCTGCAGGAGGTTTAGCAACACACTTGGCCTCACCCACTATGGGTCAGTAGTACCCTCACCAGTTACAACAACCAAAAGTGCTGCAGACATTGTCAAATGTCTCTTGCCAGGAGACAAACTGCCCTACTTAATAATCTCTGCTCTAACCCGAGTGAATGCTGGAGAAGTCCCTCCAACTGGGTTCTTTTCTCCCGAGGGTTAGAGCTGGGCCTCACCCAGGAAGGGTGGCTGGTTGACCCATAGTCTGGCAGAGTAGACTGTGTCACTAAGCTGTGCTCTCCTTCCCTGTCCCAGAGAGAAAAGGACTGAATGATGGGATTACATAGCACAATAAAGTGGCTTCCTGGGACATCAACATGAACCATGAGTGCAGAGGAGGGGAAAGGGGATTTTTGAGAAGGGTCTTCAAACATCAGGACACAGATACGGAAGGAAGATGGGAGAGTTGGGCACCTGGTGGTAGAGGCGGACCTATTCAAGCAGAGGGTGCAGAAAGAAAGACAGAAACCAGGTCTCTGAGCTGATGGCAAAATGTCCACATGCCCACAATAGGAGCTGGACTTTGCTCCAGAAGTGATATGAACACGTGTGGATATAAGGATAAATTTGCTACAAATACCTAAGAAGGGAGAGGAATGTTCCAGATGAACATGCCCAAGACTCAAGCAAGGTTTGCTTAGAGTAGAGCTGGGAGGAGCTATGGGTGCCAGAGAACAGCTGGGGGGCTCTCAATAGTCTGCAGGGACACAGTCAGTGTCCAAAGGCCGGGGCGCGGCCAGGTTCACAGCGACACAACCGTGCAGACTAATGGATGCTGGCAGAGCTTGAAAAAAGTCACTTCACTCCCAGAAAACTAACCTCCAGTGGCAAGCCTTCTGAAGATTCTAAGTGAGGGAGTTCTAAGTGGCCTTACCTGCAGCCACTCGTAGATGGGTTGTGCTCTGACTTGGCCATCATCAGGCTAAAGGCACTTGGACTGTAAGGAAAAGGAATAAAAGCACAACTCAGATGGCTGCGTGCTCCCTCCACTTCTCCCAGCCCACCCAACCAGTGACAACACACTACATAACACCCCAGTAAGACAATTAAAAAAACATACGAGGTTAAGGTGAAACTGGAACCTAAAACCTTCAGATGTCAGACAAACAAATTACTGGGAGATGGGAATGTAAGACAAAGGCAGCAAGTTCATTTTCTAGAAACCGGCTCTTGTTGGTGTAAGCTGCTGCTGGCTGGGTTACCCTCGTGCTCACTAAGCATCCACCTGCTGCACTCGGATATGCAAAACCAGTGGAGGCACCACTATAAGGAAGGACAGACCCTAGTAAATTTTAGTTATTCTGAGTGAAGATCTTTAAAAATCTTGGAAAACTTGGTAGTCATGATTTAAACAATTTTTTTTTTTAAAGAAGATGACCAGTAAGGGGATCTTAACCCTTGACTTGGTGTTGTCAGCACCAGGCTCACCCAGTGAGTGAACCGGCCATCCCTATGTGGGATCCGAACCCGGGGCCTTGGTGTTATCAGCACCGCACTCTCCCGAGTGAGCCACGGGCCGGCCCATGATTTAAAGAATTTGAAAGCAATCAAATTACAATGGAAATGAGACACAGAAAAAACAGTCCACCGGGTGACAGTCCGCCCAAAGGCTGTACCTACCTCTGGTGGGCACTTGGCGGCTCCACCAGCATCGTCAGCTCCTTCGCATTGTCATCACAGTCACTGCCCTGCGAGTCCCGCCCCGTGGAGCAGTTTTCATTGGTTTCATTTCCGCTTGAGCCACTGCTCATGTCCACATCTTCCTGGAGTGGGGCCCGACTGGGATTGGACTCCATGGGCTCCTTGGTGGGGCTCCTGGGGCTTGGAGGGAATTCTGTGTATCCATTCATGTTGGGCTCCGGAATGAAGCTGGCAAACGAGAAGAATGTCATCAAGCATTAAAAAGAGCAGGCACAGGTGACCCCTGGAGCCACCAAGTAGAGTAGCCTAGTGGAATCTTTCTGGTCATTTTACTAAATGCAACTGCCGTGGTCTGCCAATCACATGGTATGACCTCACCATGTCACTCGCTGTTCTTATTACTGAGCTCCCGCCTGCCATGAATCAGGAAGATGGATGAATGAGACAGTCCCGGCCCTCGATACTGGGTGCCCACGGCCTCACCAGGAGGCAGACAAGAGCAGCCACAATCTCTCCCAGCACATGGGGAGCTCTGAGGAATACAGAGTCACACCGAACATGGCTGGGCCTGGGAATCTGCATTTTGCAAATCTCCTCAAGTTGTGCGGGAGCAGCCAAGGGCTAGGAGAATGAGGATGGCCAGGTGAAGAGGGCAGAGCACCGGTGCTCCCCAGGCACAGCCCAGCAAGTTTGGAGCTCTCACTGCACCTGGGCACTCCACTGAGGCGTGTGTGAGTGAGAATGGCGTGGAGGGGGGGTCAGTTTGAGGGTGACCTTATGTTCACCCAGAAAATGGTGAGGATCCAATGGAGCCCACTGAGCACCAGACCAATGAAGCTCAGCATGCATTTGGACAGGCCCCCTTTGCTGCGCTAGAGAGAACTGTAACTTTGGTACTTTAGGTGGGTGGAGGGGGGCTGAAATTAGAGACAGACCAGTGATGAGACTTCCACAATAATTCTGGGAGACAGACCGAGGGGGTGAGCAGAGACAGTGAGTAAGGGAGGGGTGGGACTGATCAACGGGTCACAAGCCCAAAGATAGGGAGACTGTTAGATGTCACCAGACAAAAAAAGAAGGACCCAGGACAGTGTTTCCAGCAGGGTCCCAGCAGGAAACAGATGCCCACTCAAGTCTGGCAACTAAAGAGTGCTTGAGGAAGCTGGGTACCTGCTGGTCAGGTATACTCAGGCTTAAGGAAACCCTCCGGAGGGTGATGGGAACAGAGGGAAATGCTGTTGTCACCCCTGGCCTGCAGGGGTCAGAGCAAGGAGCAAGGGAGCAACCCAGACAACCTGCGGCCTCCCTCTCCTCCCGACCTCCAATGTGCCAAAGCCAACGGAAAGCCAGAGAGTGAGGGACACACTGGCACGGGCTTGGTGGCGGGGTGGCAATGGTGCCTTCTCTGAAGGGCATCCCCACAGCTTCCATGTATTCAGGGAAGCAGATCAGAGGCCAGCAGACAGCAGCTGAGAGGGGCCTGGCAAGGGCTCTGGTTTGAGGGGACGACTACCTACATTACGCTAAGCATGCGCGACACAGCATTCAGTATAATCCCAAGATCACTGCATATACTGCACACAGAATATGGATGAGCCAACAGGGGTAGCCCAAGGCCACACAGTAGCAGGTGACAGTGCTGGGGTTCCAGACTGGCCTACCTCTGATCATTGAACCTCATCCTGCACCAGATCACTCATGCAGGGCCTCCTGCCACCTGCCCTGTGCCCAGTTTCTGTGTGCTGACTCTGGCCCAATGTGACATCCCCGCTTCTGCGTGGCATCTGCTTGGCCCTTCCCAGGGCAGAACAAGGGGAGAGAAGTTTCTGGATTCCAGACCCCAAATCTCTGTGGAAAATCTTGTCTTACAGTGTCCACCGGCTCTGGGAAAGCATCTCCTCCCACCCCCTTCCCTCCAGAACCCACATGGAATGACCAAGGACTATAAAAATGGCAGCGGAGGGGATCATTTTCAGCAGGGCTGGAAATCCACAAGCTGAAGGCATTTCCTGCTAGTGGGACCTCAGATGGAAGGAGGTCTGAGGATGGTATTAGGGTCTGGCTCCTTCCAAGAAAGCAGGTCAGTGTTGCAGACCACTGCCACCCCCTGCCACAGAGGAATGTGGCTAGAGCCAAGGGTGCAGCAGGACAGAAGGCAGCTCTACCACTGTGAAGACGCCTCTCAGGGAAGGTGCAAAGCAAGGGTGGACACAGGGACAGAAAACCTGTGGGAAGCTGAGGTTCTCCCAAAGACGCTTCCTCCTCTGAACACCCAAAGGTCCCCTCCCCAACAGAGCAACACTGAGAAAGGGGCCAAAAGCTGTGCTGGCCCGTGGCTCACTTAGGAGAGTGTGGTGCTGATAACACTAAGGCCACGGGTTCGGGTCCCTACATAGGGATGGCCAGTTAGCTCAGTTGAGAGAGCCTGGTTCTGACAACACCAAGACAGGGGTGAAGATCCCCTTACAGGTCATCTTTAAAAAAAAAAAAAAAAGGAAGAAAAAGAAAGGGACCAAAAGCCACCTAGGGCAATACTGTGAGGGCCAGCAAGCAGGGAATGATTCCCAGAGCTGGCCCCAGGCGACTGGACTGTGAGCTCCAACACAATCCTTCACTGTCACCTCTCTAAGTCTGGCCACTACAGGGCAGACTCCAGGCAATCCAGGCGAGAGAGACAGGACCCATGGAGAACCCAGCCACATTACTGTTTGGAGAACAGCAGGGCTGAGTAGACATTGTCTTGTGCACAAATCAATAATCAGAAAAACCCAACATGGGGCTTTCAAAAAGATGCACAGCAAAGACAAATTAACACACCTCTCAAGGCACAGAGGAAACAAGCAAATTTAGGACAGCATCTAGTGGCCCAAATTCAAGAAAAGATGGATTCAGTGGAACAAGTAATAAAGGATGAGATACAGCCAGACTGAGATGGAAATGCCACGTTAGGACAGGAAATTAGAAAGGACAAAACTCAGAGTTAATAACAACAGAAATGGCTTCAGTGATGGGTGGAGACTCGCGAGAAACTTTTTAAAATGCAAAGGGAAGGGACCAATATTGCACACGAGGAGAGGGAGGAATGGAGGACAGCCAAGTTTTCACCTGTGGATAACAGCTCCTCCCGAAAAGAACACCAGAGGATGAACGAAACCATCTGAGCTCAAGACAGATCTGAATCTTCCAATTAAAGGGCAAAATTATGTGAAAAGTCCAATGCCTAACTACATCCCAGTAAAAAACTTCATTTTCAAGGATGAAGAAAATCCTACCAGCATCCAAATAGGAAAAACAAACCTCCAAATGACAAAATCTCATACTGGTCTTGGACATCTGTTCTGCAATATAAAATTTTCAGAAGATAATGCCTACACATTGCTTTGAGAGGAAAAGGTTATGGCCACAGGGTGGAAATCTCAATTAGAGAACACTTGCTTATTATGGCCTAGACAGATGGATTTATCAATACCCTGAGACACATAAAACCTAAAACGCCAGCATCATTCCAATTAAAGTCAGGAACAAAACAAGCACGTCTACTACTCCAGTCTTTTTAAACATTTTATGGAAGTTCTAGCTAATTCAATGAAAGAGTAAAAGATCATGACTTTTGAGAAGAGAGAGACTAAGCATAAAGACTAGGAATAGGCCATTTCCACAAAGGGAAATACCAAACATGTGAACTTGCAGGAAGATGCTCAACCTCACTAGCAACAGGAAAATGCAAAGGATGAGGTTAATGTGCCCGTCAGGTTATCCAAAACTGACAGGACTGACTGCATGCAGAGTTGGTAAAGCAGAGGACACCGGGTCTCATGTACCTGGTTGCAGTGGATTGAATTATGTCCCCCCAAAACTCACTGAAGCTTGAATTGTGTCCCCTAGGTTTTATGTATTAGAAACTTAGCCCCCACTGTGACTGTTAAAGAGTGGGGAAATCCTATTACGGTAATTGAAAGGTGGAACCTTGAAGAGGTGATTAGATTGTAGGATCATGCAGTGGTGAGTGAATTAATAATGGTGGTCAGGGGCGTGGTTCTGAGGGCTTTGAAATAAGAGAGAGGACAGTCTGTCTTTCTTTTCTGTGCTCTCTCTGATTCTACCACCCTTGCAATGTGAGACCCCTGGGTCACTGTCACCACCACCAGATGGACTTTGGACTTCCCAGTCTCAGAAACTGTAAGCAATAAATTTATTTTTTCTTTATAAATCACCCAGTTTCAAGCATTTTGTTATAAGCAACAGAAACCAATACAGAAAATTGGTACCAGAGAGGTGGGGTGTTGCTTATAACAAATACCTGATAATGTGGAAGCGGCTTTGGAACTGGGTGTTGATGAGAAGCTGGAGAAATTCAGAGGAACAGGCTAGAAAAAGCCTAGATGCTGGTGAAAGTTTAGAAGACAAGAAAACCAGGGAAAGTTCGTAATGTTTTAGAGATTGGTCAAATGGTGGTGACCAGAATGTTTATGGAAATAATGGACTATAAAGACAATTCTAAGGAGGTCTCAGGTAGAAATAAGAAGGAATTTATTGGAAACTGGGGCAAAGATCAACTTTGCTATGAACTGGCAAGGAACTTAGCTGCATTGTGTCCATGCCCTAGGACTTTGTGGAAGTTGGTATTTAAGAGTTGTGAACCAGAGTATTTGGCAGAAGAAATTTCTAAGCCGCAAAACATTCAGGAAGCTGCATGGCTACTTCTAACAGTCTCCTCTGAGTTATGGTGGTAAAGGCATGACATAAAGCCAGAATTTAAAAGGAAAGCAGAAAGTAAAGATTTGGAAAATTTGCAGCCTGGCCATGTGGTAGAGAAGCAGAGAGCATTTTCAGAAGGAAAATGCAATGGTACTAAGATTAATATGAAAGAAAGGAATTATCAAAAGAAGGGGGAAAGGCCCTAAAGGCACTAAAGAAGCCTCTGGAGCCAATCCTTCCATTTCAGGCCCAAAGGCCTAGGGAGACAAAATGGTCTTGGGAAACAGACCCGAGGCGCCCTCCATGGGCTCACTGCCCAGGGCCACCTTGAGAAGCTGCTTCCAGCACCAGCACCCCAGCTGCTTTGGCTGCTCCAGCTGTGGCTAAGTTGGCCCCAGGTGTGGCTGGATGTGCAGCTTTAGAAAATACAATCCAGAAGCTTTGGCAGCATCCATGTGGTGTTAGGTCTGCAGGCTAGCAGAATGCCACAGTTCTGAAAGCTTGGGAGCCTCCACCCCCATTT